AAATTTTTGATCCTATCGGCTTTTCTTGTCCAATTTTTGTCTAATTGGCTTTTGAAACCATCTACAGATTGGCCGTCTCAAGATTATGTTACAAATGAGGTTTTAGTAAATTCTAAGAAAAAATCACGAGTTGTTTCTGCGATGGTTAATGCAGTAGAATATTCTTGGTATTATTCTTATTTTTCCAATTACAATAAAATTGTTAGGATTGTTGCATGGGTCAAACGATTTTTAAACAATATACGCGAGAAAGATAAAATAAAGCGAATTAAGGCTGGTTTGTTTTCTCAAGAAATAGAGTTTGCTGAAAATATGATTCTAGGTTATCTTCAATGTTGGTATTTCTTGATAGTCAGGGTATTATAAGGATGAAATTAAAAGTTTCTTATAGGGAAGATTCCTTTAGTTTTCGTTTACCCTGTATATTACCTTCCAATCTTATGAACATGTAAATAATTCACATGCTGGTGTTCAATTCATTAGGAGTAAATTAAGGGAACGTTTTTGGATACTGCTTTGTAGGCAAACTGTCAAGTCCGTTATCTCAAAATGCAGAATATGTCGTCGATTTAATGGACGACGTTTGCAAGTTCAATCTTCTCCTCTACCGGTTGATAGAGTACGTAATGCTTCTGTATTTGAGGTTATTGGGATTGATTTGACAGGTCCTCTGTATATTCGATCTGAGAAGAAAGTGTTGATCATTATTTTTACTTGTGCTATTTTTCGAGCTGTTCACTTCAAATTAGTCTCATCTTTGTCATCAGATGATTTCATGCTGAGTTTTAGACGTTTCATCGCTCGACGAGGGAGACCATCTGTAGTTTATAGCGATAACGCAAATAATTTTTTAAGTACTCAAAATTTATAAAATGGAAGATGGTAGAGGAAGATAGTCATCTAGAAAGGATTTGTTCCTCCAACAGCTCCATGGTGGGGTGGTTTTTGAGAAAGATTGTTAAGGATTTTGAAGGATCTATTAAGGAAAGTATTAAAATGATCTTGTGTGACCTACGATGAATTATCAACCGTTCTTTGTGATTGTGAGGCTATAATTAACTCAAGGCATTTGACATACCTTACACAAGATGACCAAGATATGGCTACTCTTACACCTGCAATGTTTTTGCAAGAAATAAAAGAAATAGGAGTAGTAGATTTAGACAATATAGAAAAGACCAGTATGAATAGGCGTATGCGGTATAGATTAAAATTAAAAGAAGATTTACAGAAGAGGTTTAGAAAGGAGTATTTAGGTCAGTTGTGTCAGTCAAAAAGAAGAGGCACATCTTCAGAACTCCAAGTTGTATATTGTTATTGTACAACACGACAATCAGAAGAGACTAGATTGGCCATAGGGTCGTATAGAAACATTAATTGTAGGTAGGGATGGAAAGGTTCATGTAGTCGAACTGAAAACTGTTACAGGTCATTTGCTTAGACCAGTACAGCGGTTGTACCCATTAGAAATGGAAGGGATATAGAAATATTGAAGAAAGTTGAATCAAAAAGGAGGATCATAGTGATACTACAGAATATGTAACCAGAAGTGGAAGAACTAGTAAGCCCTCTACTCGTTTGATATAACTATGAAAAATGGAGTTGATATTCAAAGTCAATGTTAACTTCAACATCAAACTACGTATAAATAATTTGAAAATCATTTATTAAATTAGGCGAGCAACAAAGCTGTCGTTTTTTAATGGGTGAGCGACAAAGTTGTCACTTAATGTCAGTTTGCGAAAAACGTCAACTTTGCGGTTGTATTTCGAAGCGCAAAAGCCTACTGTGTATATTGATCGTAAAAAACACTATTTTGCAATATGACATATCGACACACTTTGAGCGATGCAAAAGTGTTATCAAAGTGGCAACTTACAGTCGTACTTTGATTTATTTGAAGTCAATCATTTTAAATTTAAATATTAGCGGTATGAAAATGTTTTCATATCATTTAAATGAAGCTATTCTACAAAATGGCATTTATTCTCACCAGAACGTATAATGCAAATGTGCGAACGCTTGTAGTATCGTCATAGCATCTTCTTTTTATTCTATCTCAATGTTCTACACCCGTATGGATATTAGCTATTCTACGCACAGACTACAAAACGAAAAAGTAGACCAATGCGTTCAACTAAACAAATATATTTCATATCCATTCTATTTAGTAAGAACACTGCACAAATAAGAAATCCACTAATCACTGTTTATGATTTGATAATAGTACTGGCCGATATTATTTTTTTATTTTATTTTGAATAAGTGACAATTCTGTCAAACTAATTGTCAGTATAATTTTTAAATATTAGGATTAAATATACTTTAAAATGAGTAGGTCTTGTGAAGAATCGATAAATAATAGCATTTCACAAGCTATTTACAAATTATTCATACATTTTAATAAAATCGATTTAATTATAAGTATTTTAAATATGGTTAGATTGGAGAGTAGCGCATTTAGCTGCCTGCCCTGCGAAAGATCCTGGGTCAAATAAAGGAATGGAGCCTATTCAAATTAAATCTTTTTTTTAAATTTATTTTATTTTATAAATTATTAAAAAAGCCATAAATTATTTTTTAAATAGTTATTTTATCTTAATTACCTAATATAATTTTTAAAATTTGTAGATTTTTCTTATTGGGTCGTAGAAAAAATAAAATGTACAATTCAAGTGGATTTTTCGATATCATATTCACTCTTCTCTCACAGGCTATTTTTGGTTTTAAAATCAATTTAAAAGTTTATATCAAAGGAGCTATATAAAAATTTATTTTTTCTAGTCCTGTGCATAAAGTACATACTTTATGCACTAGACGAAGTGCATAAGGTTGTACTTCTTTTCAGTAGTGCGTAAGGTGAAACTCCTTACGTCATAATGAAAAAAAGTGAAATTTGACAAAAATTGTACATAGCAACAAAGTACTAGTGAAAAAAAAGTAACTTTTATATTTCTAATATAAGTGGATAATGTGTAAGGTAGTAGAAAAAATATTGTATGCAACTCGTGTGTTAAGTCCCTTTTTTGGCTCATGTGACTGTCACAACATTTACATTTGTCAAAAAAGAGTATTTTTACACACTTGTTACATAAATAACCATTTTCTACACCCACATGGATATTCGCTTGTCTACGTACAGACTACAAAACGAAAAAAGTATGACATTGTCATAAAACGTAAATTTTAAAACATTTTCCTGTCTGTTTTAAAATACCTCCTACTTTTTTAAAAATTTCCTGCTTTTTTTTTTAAATACCACCTATACATACCTACACGCTCTCCTGTTATACCTATACAAAATTCAGGTATTTTGTTACAAAATTTGATATTATAACTATGGTAAAATGCAGTTTTTTAAAAGATTTTCTGCCTTTTTTAAAATACCTCCTATACCTATTCGCTCTTCTGTTACCCTGATACAAAATTTGCTATTAAAATTTTCATAAAATGCAACTTTTAAATTCTTTTATCGCCTTTTTTAAAACACCTTCTGTAACTTTCCGCTTTTTTAATATCGTGATACAAAATTTCCCATTACAATTATCATAAAATGCAACTTTTCAAAAATTTTCCATTCCCTTTTTTATAAAATACCTCTCTTATGATAAAATAAAATTGCAAACGAATATAACACTGCAAAAAATGAAATTCACCAATCACAGATCATATTTTGGTCAACCGATTGCTATTATTTTAAAATATTTAAATAAGTGACATTTCTGTCAAATTATTTATGAATAAAATAATTTTCAGTTATTGAAACTAAATATGCATTAAAATGTGTTATTCTTGTGTAAAATCAATAAATAAATCGTCTAGGGGTAATTATAAATAATTTGCCGATTTTAATAAAACTATATTAAAGCAACAATGTTAACCGCATAGATAGAGGTGAGGTTAATGCACTTGCTTTTCATGCGGAAGGCCCGAGTTCAAATCTTAGATGGGAACAAATTAAATTGTTATTTTGTCTTAATAATCTTTAATAATTTTATAAATTTGATGATTTTCGAGAGTCGTAGAAAAAAAATATACTGAACAACTCGAGTGAATTGTTCATATCCACTCTTGTTGCACAAACTATTATTTGTCAACGAACTTACAATTTAGTAATTATTATTAGGTGTTTTTAATTCTAAATCTGCAAAAAAATAACCAAATCACTGATCCAATCTCACTCAGTACAAGACAAAATAATCCACTTTCTTAAAAACTAAAAAGATATAACAGGAAAACCATAATAAGTGGTTAAGAATAATTATTAATCATTTTTCAAATAATATATTCATAATTATGTAGGTTGTAAGTTATGCAACTAACAATACAAACGTAATATTAGTTGCATAGATACCTGTACAAAATTATTTAAAATTCTACATGTAACCGAAATCATACAATGTTTATTATTTAATTTCTAAAATAATTAAAATTGCTATTTGTTTACACTTAAATATATTAAATTATATAAAATGCTACATTTTTCTCAACAATTTTCCAAATATTCTATTTATAAAATCTTTGAATCCACGAAAAATAGTTAGTCATTTTTTAGGAAACAAAATTTTATAACATGTTCGTTGTGCGAGACCTCGCTCTGCTCGTCCCGCAAATATTTTTTGTCTGTAAATTATTTGAATAAAATTATTAGGATTGATTATAAATTTGTAATTTATGATGTTAAATTCTATTTGTCTGTTTTAAAGTTCATTACATCTAAAAGAACTTGTGTTACGAAAGCTATATTATCTGTTTCATTTGTATAAATTTAATACATTTCTAGAAACGCAATTATTAGAATTACCGACTAAGTAATTGCGTATACATAATTCCTTGAACTTCTGTAAAAATATCACCAAGTTCAAAATGTTTGATAAGAAAACCATAATATTTTATTAAATTTTGAACTTGTACCTAAATAAACTGATTATAATTTTTTAATATTGGTATTGGTTTGGGTATCTGAATAAATAAACAATAAAAATTAAATCTTTTTATAGGATCAGTGGATGGATCGATAGTAAAAGTTGACGTAGCAGGTTGTGAAAACCTTGACCGATGTCCATTGAAAAAAGGCTTAAACGCAACTTTAACGGCAACATTTACGTCAAGTAAGTATATATTGAGTAACTATTTCTAATATAATTGTAGTAATTTACATTATACGACTTTTATATGCTACTCAGTTTCTTTTTATAATTTGGAGTAGCTTTCGACTCTATTGTGGCAAAAGTTATTCAATGTTGGAGTAAGTGCCAGAACTATATCACTATTAAGAAACATATATAAAGCAACTAAAATAAAAATATGTGCAACTGAGGGACCAACAAAATCATTTGACGTGACCACGGGAGTACTTCTACTGTTTAGTTTATTTTTATCTAAAATAGAGTCTTTCTTTTTAAACAAAGGAGCTAAGGGAATTAACATTAATAACAAAACCGATCTACTGATGCTGATGTACGCGAACGACCTAGTAATCCTCTCTGGCAATGAGATTGCTGTTAATATAAACCTGAAAATACAGAAACAATTCAATGATGATAGCAACCCTACTGGCAATGTAGATAAAACAAAAATTTTGGTGTTTCATCGAGGTAATTATGACCTCAATTCCTATCATTTTTCCTACGGCAGTTATTAAATTGAGATTGTAAACAGTTTCGTTTATTTAGGGGTTACTTTCACTTTATCATCGTTCTTAAGAGAAATGGCAGGGCGAACAGCTGGAAAAGCGAAACAAGCTATCGAGGCACTTATACCGGTAGGATGTTTCAATTCCGTCATCTGTATCGGCACCATAGCCAAAATAAGACGTTCTGATTGGTTGCATCGTATCGGCTGAGTGGATGCCGAGATCACGGTGGGAAATGACTGTGGAGTGCCGAGATGAAAGACGGAACTAAAACCAGCAAAAAGCGCGATTTTCTATGGAAATTATGATCACACGCAATGTTTAATTAACACCATTTTATTAAGTGATAGGAATAAAGATACCTACATAAAAAAATTAACAAGAACAAAAATGAATAACTGGTAAGGCAATACAAATCAATGCACTATTGCGTTTGGGACATTATTGTCAACAATTATATGCAAACTTCTCGGTCGTTTTTTCGTTTTTCGTTTTCGTTTCTTCGTTTTGAAGAATCTTTCGAAGGCTGACCACCTGTGAAACGTTTTGTCGTTTTTCGGCTTACTGTTGTAGGTTGTACTTTAATTGTAGCTCTGGATGTCTGTCTTCTAGGCAAATAACTACCAGCAGTACTAAGTAAGAATCCCAAACCATGCGAGTCGAAATTTTGTTCAAGCGTTGTATGCACATATTTATTATCTTTGAAAAAATGCCATATGTATTATGATGAGCCTGTAATAGATTCATAAGTTTCGGAAATTCCATTTTTAAGGAATCGTTATTTTCTTCTGAAGCTGACAGCAAATTTGTTTTTGGTACAATATCTACGCTTTTTTCGTTATATGGTGCAGATTCCAAAGCTGATGTTGATGGAATTTCTGCTGCTCGTAATAGCGCATAGAATGAAATAGGCATAACATTTTCTTCGTCAAAATTTTGCACGAAATACAAGTCTTTTCTTTTTAATCTATACTACGTGCACACAGCCTACAAACCTTTTTTTGGCAAACCGGAACATCACTTCATCACTGCAAGGAAAGACTGATACTTTTAGGCAGAAGTTAGAAGAGGTGATCTCCAACGTCCTTTAACAAGCCCTTAATACGATCAACAGATGGTGCGAGAGGGAAAAGATGTCTGTTAACCCATGCAAAACTGTTACTGTCCCCTACAACAAGAGAATAAAGCTCGACAAGCTTCGACAACCTACCTTGGCTGGGGAAACAATTTTTTTGTAAAGGAGGTGAAATATCTGGGAATCACCCTAGATAAGATACTCACCTAGAACCCCAAATTGGATAAAACCATCAATAAAGCCAGGTTATTCCTCTGGACCCTTAAGAAGGTTATGCGGAAAAGCATGGGGGATCAGTCCCCAACTGATCTATTGGATCAACAAAACAGTGAAAAAAACCTACGGCTTTGTCGTCTGGTGGGACAAGAGACTTCAACGGACGGCCAGAGCAAAGCTGGCTGAAATACAGCGGCTTGCGTGCCTCGGCATAATTAGAGCAATGTCAACTACATCTACGGGAGCCGTGGAGACCATGCTGGCTAACCCCTCTTTACATTCTACTGGAAATGGGGGCCAAAATGGTCTCCTACAAGCTCCTGAAAGTGGGTAGTCAATGTTATGAAGAACTACGATGGGACAAGACGGGACTGATGGGTGAAATTAATAACCACCTGATCTTCGGCATGGTCTCGGACTCGCTAGTTCTCCGACAGCGCATAGAAAAGCCATACAGCGTCCTCATTTCAGAGAAAGACGCATAGAGCAGAGGGAAAAAACCCTCTCGCAGACAGACTATGCGCTGTACTCAGACGGCTCCAAAACTGAAAAAGAAGTAGGAGCGGGAGTTTGCGGCCAGAGGCATAGAGTTGACATATCAATAAACCTAGGCTCTCTGGCCACGATCTTCCAAGCAAAAATTATTGCTATACAACTGGGAGCCAAAGAGTTGATTAATTTTCTCCCCGCAAACAAGACTATAAAGATCTTTTTAGATAGCCAGGCAGCCCTTAAGGCCCTGCGCTCCAACCAAGTTGACTTAAAGCTGGTTTGGAACTGTTTAAATACCCTATAGTGCCTCGGTGCCCAGAACAAAGTTACTTTGATCTGGGTTCCGGGACACGGTGGTGTGGAGGACAACGAAACAGCCGACGCTTGCAAAAAGAGGAACCGAATCTGTGTTCATAGGACCAGAACCATTCCTGGGCATTGCAAAAAGCACTGTTAAAGGAATTCGAAGGCGTTTATAACCAACCCTTCTATGAACGCCTCTGCTCAGATCCGAGAATGAAGAAGGAAAGATCTACGCATTTTAACTGAACTGATGACAGGACACTGCCGTCTGGAACAAACATCGGACTGTCGATTCTGCAGCGTGGAGGACGAGTCTGGAGAGCCCATTTTATGTACCTGCTTCGTTCTGGAAAGAACTAGGTTTTAGATCTTCGGATTTACCCGACTGGAGCCTATTAACTTTAAAGAAGTCTCACCCAATTCAACCATGACCTTTATCAAAAGGTGTAAATTGTACGGTGAATTATAAGTTGGATATGAGCCATAATAAACCCATCTGGATCGCAGTGGAAGGCGATGAGATCATCCCAATCATTTTCAACTTAACTTAAGCGCCACGCGGTATAACGTGTGTGCCACACCCAATTTTGATCCTGGGACCGCGCGGCACATATGTTGTGTCCGAGTGTAGCAGTAGGAATATGCACAAAAAAAGTTGGTCCATTGGACTAGAAATTTTGATTGCATAGTGGCGCTTAACGTGTTAACCTTACCTTACCTATTAAATTTGTTATTTTGAAACTCTATTATTTATTATTGAATATAAAAATTTTGAGATAAAATTTAAACCCGTGTCAAAATTTTCCTGCGACGGCTGGTAACGGCGTGCTTCATAAGACTTTACACTGCATTCTCGCCTTATAGATGTAGCGGTCTGCTTTACCAGAAGCCATGTTATAAAACATAAAATTATGGACGGTCAACTTCATTTGGAAAGATATTAATTTTATTTTATTTTTCAGATGTTAACTCAAATTCACTAAAAGCAGTAGTACATGGACAAATTGGACCAATAAGCTCAAGGTTTATTTTACCTAACCCAAATGCTTGCACATCAGGCGTGGCTTGTCCTATAAAACCTAATGAATCATATACCTATGTTCTCAATATTTTTGTGAAGTCTTCATATCCCAGGGTAAGTGAATATTACAATATCTTGTTTCTACTTTACTCTTCAAAGTAATGCATGATATATTTTTTCCGCTATCTTTTTACGCCTATACAGACTGGCCCCGTTTATATTTTCAGGATTTTATCGACCGATAGTTTATCAAAAAACAAAGATAGTTGGTCAGATAAAACATGGTCCATTTTTGTTCCTTAATTTTATTTATTAGTATTTATCAATATCTAACAAAAATCACTTTGATTAATATTAATGAAATTATCACAATTTATTGATAAGGTTATTAGGTATCATTCGGACATGTTATAGTTGATTCAGTAATTCCAGATACATGCCTACAGGTCACTTTGATTAGTTTTCGACACAAAAAATATTGCTCAGTAGATATTTGGAATTTTTGGTATATTTTTTTACATGAACTAATTAAAAATGCAACTTATATGTTTCACATTTTTTATCTTACTTTGTTTTTGAAGAAAAAAAGTGAAAATAAAAATTTTTCATGTGTCTGAATAGAAAGAAAACAAAATTGGATAGAAAACTTTTATTTTTCGATAAACTATTAGCTGGTGAAATTCTGACGATATATACGATATAAAGTGGACTGTATTTCAAGTTAACTTATTCGTTAATAAAATAAATTCTATATTTCCATATTTACCTATATACCCCTGGTAACATATAACAGATTTATTTTAGGAAATTAATTTAATTAATTATATTTTATAAATTGTTTTAATAAAAGATTAAGTATTTAAATATATTTAAGGATATAGAAATCGTAAATTCTAACATATTGACACTATAGTTTAATGCGCAACAAGCAATCTATCTCCAGACAATTTTTTTGATAATAGGTTAAATTTGTACATTTGTTAAAATATTTTAAATATTTTTGCAAATAGCAATATTTTAAAAAGTAAGGTTGTATTTGAATGTCATTGGAAATATTTGTGGAAACATTAGGTACACATAAATGAAATTTAATTTAAATTTTAATATCATTTATAATAATTCCACAAAATTTTTCCTAGTGGTATAAAATTAAAATTTGCGAAATCATTAAATACCTATAAATTACAAAACTTTCCTAGTAATATAAAATGCTATTTGCAAAAAATTTAATAACTAATGGAGACAAATTTCACACGAATTTAAATTTTTAAAATATTTCTCGAGCGATGGGTCTCTTGTTGACTTTTTTAATATTTTTAGTTCTTTTATTTAATTTTTCACCTTGGAATAACTAATGCAAAATTATTTTAAATTCTATAAAGCCAAATTTGGTTTGTTTGTAAAATATAGGTGCTCAATTCAATAATTTTTCACACTACCAGCTGGTTGCAAGAACTTTACTAAATACCCAAGTAACACACAAAGTTATAAAAGGTTCGTATAATTGATTAAAACGTTACAAAACATACGTAAACGACACGTTAAATAACTTAATTTTATAAAACTGATATACGTATAACTTTTTAATACTGTAGAAACTAATAGTACGACGTTTTTGTTAGAAGTTGTTAAGTAATATTTAACTATTATATAACTATATTTAATATATGTAGTTGTTTTAACGTTTCTATAACTTTTAAAATGCAACTACAATTTTATATCATTAGAACAGTGGTTATCTGTGACAGGGCAAGCGGTAAACTGTCTGCATCTGGTTTTGTTAACAAGGTCCTCCACAAGGCTCGACTCTGAGTCCTCTGTTGTTTAATATTTATATCAATTATATACATTCCGTAACTGCAGATCAAGTAAAAGTATGTGGTTATGCTGATGATATAACATTGCTGACGTCAGGCAAGAATTTCGTTAATATGATCCAGTCTTTAAATGGGTCTTTGCGGAAACTTTATGATTGGATGCAATTACATAATATGTCAATTTTTTTAAAAAGTCCAAATACATAAAATTTCAAAAACGCAAAACTTCGCGAACTCTCCCGGATATACTGAAGGTTCTACAAGTAATTCCTAAATGTAATGTTGTTCAATATTTAGGAGTTACTCTTAATTCCAAATTAAAATTTACTAATCACATTGATTCCGTGGTAGGATAAGCACGAAGGGGATTAGATGATATAAGAGCCATCTCGAGAGTTGGATGGGGAGCAGACCCAAAAATTCCGGCAATGATTTATAAAACACTCGTAAGATCACATCTAGATTTTTGGATCCATTTTATTTTTCAATGTATCATAATTAAGTTTCAAGCATTGCGAATAATAATTGGAGAAATGAATAGTTCTCCCATTGGATCTATTTTGGCAGAATGTTGTGAACTTCCTCTAAGATGGCGCCGCATTAATCTAGCTTGTAAATATGTTTTGAAGAATCTAGCTCTAGATAATAATCCAATTGGACAAGAATTGATAGAACTATATTCCACTTTAAATTTACAAAATTTAGAAGAACAAAGCGATTTTTCCTTACTTAAAGCCCTAAACCGATATCTACCTTATATTTCTCAAATAAAAAAAAATCAAAATTTTCCATGTTTTGACTTTAATTTTGTTTCACAATTTATGGATATCCACATTGTGAGTTTAGGTTTAAGGAAAGACTGTTCGGATAACTCTAAAAATTTTACCATTGCAATAAACACGTTATTTCCTATACTTGAGTATATACAGACGGATCTGTAGACCTATCCTCTTATAGAGCAAGCTGTGGAGTTCATATTCCCGATTTAAACTATATTATAGTTTACGTTTAACAGATGAAACTAATATTTGCTCTGCAGAAATCAAAGCTGTGGAAATGGCTGTAATACAAATTAATAAATCTGACTGCAAAAATGTGCTCATATATATGGACTCTTCTGGTGCTATTCAGAGAATACAAAGATTGGGTATACTATCCTGTTCGGATAGCTGCAGTTTAAATGTTAAAAATCAGATTTAAGATGCAAAACTTAAGAATATAAATATTACTTTTGCGTGGATACCTAGTCATACGAATATAAAAGGAAATGTTATAGCTGATAAACTTGCTAAATAAGGACTCAACAAACATTATTCTGACGTAATGACAATGGATTATAGAAATATGCTACCTAGAGTTAAAAATTAAATTTGGGATGATTGGAGTGAATAATGGCGAGAACTGAGTCAAACTAAGCGAAAACAACATTTTAATATATTAGACATACAGTTCATCAAATTTCTAGAGGTGTTCGACGCCCAGACAGAGAACGCGCTACGTGTGACTAAGATAGCTATTGTACAGTCTGCTAAACAAGTTATTTTAAATAGTTTTTAATATTTTTAGGTAATTAAATTTTAAAAGTGTGGAATAGTTTAGGGATTAAATTGGTCTGATTGGACTTTCTTAGAACGTTTTTAAAAGCAGCTAAAGATAGTATGTAGAATTGACAATAATTATTATGCCATAAAAGGTGTTTTGGAATTCCTTCAACCTTTTGAAATTGAGTCAGAAAATATAAATTTTATAGGATAGCGGAAAATACCTATAATTTTTTTGTAGGCCTTTGTAAATCGTGGAAATAGTTTATATTTTATTTCTACCTTATTAAGGAAAATGGTACCTATTATTAATAACGGTTGTTTCTGAAACATTACTAAAATTTTCGAAATTTTGTTTTTCTACAAAATAATAAACTATACTATTTAGAAAAAAAATTATTTCTCTTATAATTTTATAAAAATAAAAGGGGAATATTTACATTTCTTGATCTATTAAACAAAACGATAAATTATCTCGACGAATGACACCATGTTCTAGTACGGAAGCTAGCTTTACATTTTTGTTGGTGGTTTCATGGGTTTCATATCAATTTTTTGTAATTGTAGTTTACACGTACATATACCTCTTAGCACTTGTTTGCTTTATTAAATAAGTGTGTTGTTGTGATTTACGTCGAAATAAGTCAAAAACAACTTGAAACCCCATATAAAATCAAAAAGGAGAAACGGAAAAAAATTGAGCCTGTAAATGAACACAACTCAGAAACAAAAATAGCTATCTAATAATAAAAAAATAAAATTTGATTCTTGTGCATCTTCGTTGTAAAAATAGATAATAGTTTTTTGATCTTAGGTACAGATATAATTTTAATGGTCTTCCGAAAAACTTTCTTCAGTTTCCATATCAGATTCAAAATCAGTCTCACTGTCACTGTTTAAGTTAATTATAAATCTATCAGTTGCCTCATCCAAAGTAACTTCTCTGTCATAAAATTTAGATTCCCACATTTTAGCATTATTACAACGAGATTGCCACTCCTCTTTAGAAAACGTATCAAAAAAGTCTTCACACAACAGTTGTACGTCTTGCCTCTAAAATGTAGTGTTGTTACTAGCTACATATTGTTTCAATGATGCCCACACTAATTCGATCGGATTAAGATCGGGATGATACGGTGGCAAACGCAAACAACTAAAACCATGGTTTTTCTTGGTGATGAAAATTCCGATATCTCACGGTTATCGATTCGTTTTTTCTCTCCAGAAATGCGGACGACAGTGTTTTTAGATACTCCTGTGGCTGCAGCAACACGATCATTTACATTTTTAAATGGTATTGAAGGTGAATTAAATTTTCCTTCTCTTCTCATAAACTCTATAACATTGGCTATTATTTCGCGAGATTGACTGTTAATCACGCGGCCTCTTAATTTGCTATTAAACTCCATACTTAGGTTCTATTAAACTGTAATGAGCAAAAAACACAAACGAAAATAAAAGAAATGTTTTAGCGAAATTTACATCTGACATTTACGTCTGAATAAAATAGTGAAATACTTGATGCGCAGAGTGTACTTTCATTGCGTAAATCCGTCGGCCCCGCCAACCGATGCCTATCAGTAGTGCTTTCTCTATCTAGCCGTCGAAAGCCTCTAGAAATTTGATGAACTGTACTGCCTCGAACACCCTGGTTTTTTAAAATTAAATTAACAAAGAGACAAATCGGTACAATGTGCATAATGAGAATTGGTCACTGCTATAGTTTCGCTCATCTGTTCCGAATTGGTATCCTTGACTCCCCAAGTTGCAGCTGTGTTGAAATTGGAAGTTTTGGTGATATCTTGATGGAATGCAGTAATAATACAGATAATATAAAATTCTTATACCAAAAAATGGTTCTTGCTTTTCGTCCCCAATTTTTCCCTTCATGTTTAAATGATTATTTACGAAAACCAATTTGCAGTGTACATCCATAATCACGTCATTTATAAAATCTTCTAACATTATTTTGTAAAAAATATTGTTCAGTTTTTTTTTTTTGTAATTTTACACAGCCAAATAGTGTCTTAAATGTTATATTTATTTACATGTAACTATTGCTGGTTTAATAACTTGTATAAGTTAAGACCAATTAATAAAAAAAAATTGCAACTACTTTTTAATAATACAGTTGTAATACCGTTGTAAACTGTAGTTACTATTAGGTTTATCTAGAAAATTATTATATGGTTAATAAAAATTATACTGCTTTAGAAGTTATTTTGTTTTAAATTAATTAATACACCGTTACTATAGAAGTTGTACAGTGGTTAAATGTGTATATTATTTTATTCCTAAAATGTATTATTATCTTTCTGAGGTAAGGAGTTAGGAATAACTGCTTTATAAAATTTAGAAGAGATTTATCATCTATTCGAAAAAGACGTGTCTCTTATAGATGTTAAAAAAACTATTTAAATTGGACGCATCAAAGTACTTCAAGAAATACAAAATTTTGAGAACATTTCAAACACAGATCCGCAGTACGTACCTATACAATAAAACCATTCATTGTTATCAACAGTAATATTCGGAATTGTGCTTCTTACAATAATTCCTAAGATGTATATAAAAAAAAACAACTAATGAACACCAAGAAATATTGCAACATAGAAATTGACATGAAAAGAGGGACGAATAACTAAAAGTATGACAATAACTAAAAATAAAGTAGGTTAATTACCACATAAAATTGTAAATAAATTAGAATAATTATATGCACAATTAAAATTAAACAACAACCAAAAGATGCAATAATCTTATTGCAAACTCTCAAGAAATTAAACATAGTTTTTATGGGACTAGAACTCAATGGTATATTATTATTTAAAAACCCCTATGGCTTAAAACCATATTGTGCATTCAATAAGTACTTTTCATTTGATCCTTTCTTTAATAATCCTTGCACACTAATATTAGAAATGACTGAAATACTCCTAAACGATTGCAAACTTAATAATAATGTTAGTAAGCAGTAACAGTAAACACAGCACATCTACACATAACCTATAAAAATGTTAGTGGTAAACAAATTTTGATATATTTTTTATAATATACATATAAATAAGTTATAACATAGTGCTAGTAAATATTATAATACGTGCAAATTAAATTTACATAATCAAATTATACTAACCATATGTTGTGCACATAAAAGCAACAAAAGTATAAGTTATAAAATATAAAGTTAAATAATATTAACGTGGTATTTATATGTATTAATTACAACTTTTTAGTCATAAGAAGACTCAGCCATTTTATTCAGTAAAAAAGAACACAAACTTTTCGCCATGTTGATAAAAAATAAATTTTGATCTCATTCTGCATTTAAATTGCAATATGTAGACAAAATAAGGTTACATTAATATGTTTTTATTTAAAATAACAATTATTTTAAAATATTTTTAAAGTTTTTTGTTTCGTAATTTTTCAAAACCATTATTTTAGGAAAATGATAAGGCGCATTAATTTTTACAAACTAAAATTAAATGTTACTTCATAAAACTTGTTTTGTCAGAGAATTTGGGTAGATTACATTGTTTTTTAGACAAAAAGTTTAATATTAATATTTTGTAAGAAGTAACTCTATAATGTTTACACCTATTGGTCTTCATTAGATGTATAAATAATAATCTATAGATAAAACCAAATTATGTCATGACATAACAAAGTTTTTATATCCATTTGTAATTACCCAATAACATTATCTTTTTATAGAGTTGTAAGTTAGTATAGCAACTACTGTAAAACGTATACTATTAGGTTGTATATATCCACCACAAGTCGCATAATAATATATAATAACGGTATAGTGATTTAGAATATGTAAGTTGTTGAGTTTTAAGAAACGTTTTTTTAACGTCTGTATAACCCTTATATAACTTTTTGTGTTACTTGGGTATCGAAAGGTGATTAATCGATCTTTTAATTCTGGTGTCATATCACATAAAATAAGGATAGCTTGCGTTAAACCCATATTCAAAGATTATGCTAAAAACCTTACTAATTACTATCTATCAGTATCAGTGTTGCCTATTTTCTCAAAAATCATAAATAAAAATATTTAATTGCTGAAATATTATGGGATAATTGTCTAAAATGTTAATGAATAATTTCTAAAAATTCGATTTTTTTTTTTTAAATATAATAATTTATTTTCTGTTTCAGCTTAACGTTGGCATCAAATTTGAACTGCAAGATGACCAGGGTAAAGATGTTATTTGTGCTCTAATTCCAGCAAAAATTGTAAATAAATCATATACAAATTAGGTAAACGACTTTAATTAAAATTGTAAATTTTATACAATTATAAAATAAATTATTTATCGTAAACTCTTTGTTTTATCATCTTACTAAACCAAATAAATGTATGTATACGGACGTGCTATATTATAGTTATAAAGGACTGGATTGCTGTGACCTTTTTGAGAAAGAGAATTCCAAAGTGCAGTCCAAATGGGTCAGTTGTACTGAACTGGTTTATTGACCTGGTTAGTAGTGAGAAAACACAGTCGTAATTAAACGGTTAGAATACAAGGAGCGGTAAATTTACCTTGTTATACCCAAGAAAAATATATTTTTATAGATAAAACAGTAAAAAAGTTAAATTCAATACACAATTTTATTTAACCAATACAAAAGCTATAAAAAATACAGTTAGGAGTATGTACTTTGAAAAAAAATTAAGTTGAAGGTGGAACTGAGAAACGATATATCGAAATTGAAATTTTTGTGAAGCGGGTTATAGGCACGATACACATACTAACGGTATGCTGACTTTTGATTCAAATTTCGACCAAACTGCTCAATGACGTAATGCGGGACGAGCTTTCAAGTTATTTTCACACTTTTCGTTTGAATAGTGCAAAATAATTAATAATTTATTTGTTTTTGTGTTAGTGGTGACTATATTTTCCTATATCGCACCTGTTACAGAAGACTGTCATATTACAAAAAACTTAGTTTCATGGTAGAGACATTTAAAGATTTAGACGGCTCATTTTTTGACACTGCAGAGAAAATTTTAATAATATCCATGTTCATTGGTAGAACCTAAGTTATTATTTGAAGCCATTAAATAAAATCTGGTCAATTTTGATTCCAACCCCTAAAATTACCATTTCTGATATGTTGTGACAGTTATCCTGACTAGTGAGTCAATTTCAGTCTTACACTGACGCGCGCACTTTTTCTTTTTCTTACTCAAGCTACGGCGATCTGCTACTATGTCAGAATGATGTGCAACAAAGTCAAAACAAATAATATTAGGAATGGTTGTTCTCCTCATCATATTTTTTATTTTACACTGGGTTACGTCGCCATTAGTTCTTGTTGTGACACTTTTCCTGATTGACATTTATTTGATCTAAAAACTTAATGATACAATTTAATCTGCTTATACAAATAAAAAAATGATATAAGAAGTCTATAATAATGGATACTCATTTTATATCATAACGTCTTCCATAAATATTGGTGGGATTACTAAAAAAAAAAAAAAAAAAAAAAAAAAAAATGGTTAGAGTCAATAAAAACAAGTTGACATGATCTTTAATTTGTAAATACTGTAAGAGGGCAATAATACAAGGAACACAATGTGACCAAAGCAAAAACAATATTTTAATAACAAAAATAACTGAAAATAGTACAAGGCAACACAACATAATTGAATACCAAAAGTAACTGAACATGGCAAAACAAAACAACTCAAAATACAGTAACTGAAAATGGCACAACAAAACAAAGTATTTGAGTTCCAAAAAATAACTGAAAAGGGCCAAACAAAAAGTTCATAGGACAATTTGAACTACTTCACTCAGCAAATAGACTTCTGTAGTAAAGTGCGTGTCTTTTTGGAATCTGGTTTGCATTTATAAGGTCCATTATGTCGCTTTTCTTGTTTGCAGATATCTCTATTTTTCGTTCATATGCGGGAGTGAGCTGAACATTCTCGAGAATGTTTTTAATTTTATTCTTTTCTTGGCTGTCCTTACTTGCTCTTGTCTTCTTGGTAGATGCCACGTCGACTTTATGTGGGATTTCACAATCGTAGGTGGTTTGCACGTAAAAGCATAATGGGATATCCTTTTCGTAGTTACAAATTTTGTATTGTGAAGTTTGGAGCTTTTCGTCAGTTGTCGTTGTATCAAAGTTTGATCCCAGTTGAGTCTGTAATTTCTTAATGTCAATAAAATCAGTCTGGGTCATTTCAATTAACTCAAAAAAAGGCTTATTAGGCTTTGCATTCTTGATTATGTCGGTATACGTGGCAGGGGTGTAGATCGGACTTTTTTTGGTATACTTTTTAACGGCTTTTTTGATAAGGGAATGTGCCGAATCCTCTTCATTTTGTGTGTGGTCGCATAATAAGAATTTGTGATTGATTCTTTTTATGTTAGGCAGTTTCTGCACAGCGTACAAAAACATTCCACTTGTATATTTATTTTTATTTTGGCCAGTGCAATTAACGGAGTAAAATGTTACTTTAATATTATACGTTATTTGTTAACAATCGAACTGCCAAAGTCAATAATTGAAACTGTCACAAAATAAAATACGACTCTTTGATTATAAGAGATTTCATAAAATACCGATTATATATTCAAAAACTCTGTCATATTACATAATAGGCCACTCTTGCGTATTGAAATTTCGCTGTCATTAAAGATATGTGTCACAACATTAGGTTATGACTGTTTATATTACTTACCTCGATCAGGAAGAGTGTCATATTTTGTATTGGGACAGTTTCGCGGCATGCTGGCGCGTGTTAACTGCTCGATGGTCAGTCACATACTAACTTAAGAACACTCTTCCCGCGCAATATGGTCGCAGAAACGGCAAAATCCACAGTCACATCAGCGCGTAGGGCGAAAACTATGTTAGTTAGAAATATGTCAGTTTTACTGATTGGTAGATTTCAATGAGAACAGTAATAATACCCTAAAAACACACTTTTGAAAAATTTTGTGTTATGACACTTTTCTGTAACGGGTGCGATATATAATAGGGAAGTACTGAATTAATGTTTAAAATGTCGGGCAGCACGGCGGTGATTTGCAAAAACCATAATACGAAATCCAAAAATAGTGTAATGTAAGATATTTCCAAATGCCACAAAATGTAGGTAAATTCTTATCAAAGAAAGGACAAACTTAATTTGAACAATGGTTCGTAAAATGCACAAGTATAATAGGTTTATTTTCAATAATTTTAAATAGTTTTAAATCGTAGGCATCTAACAGACATAGAGAAATTTTAAAGCATGTCGTTATATCATATGTAATGTACTCCTTTTATTTAATTAAAGCCCTGTCAAAAACATATAATTCTTCAAAAAAAAAAATTTTTTTTGGAACAGAACTTCTACATATTAAAATTAAAAGAAATGATAATGAATATTTATAATATTTTCTTTTAATAAAAGCCATATTAAAACAATTAATCCAAAATTCGTGCAAACAAACAAGTAAATCAAATATTATTTACATACCTTATTATATGGTATCTTTTATAACATCCTGTATATGTTATTAAAAAAAAAATTGTTAAATGTACAAGAAACAATTATCATGAACAAAATTTGTGCAAATAAACAAGTAAATCAAATATTATTAACATACCTTATTATATGGTATCTTTTATAACATCCTGTATATGATTTTTTTGTAAAATCTTGTTAAAATTAATGTCAGTGATGACGCAGAGTGGATAGTATAGTTTTTCGACATTTTGTAAAAGATTCAAAGACAGGGTAGAAACCTTTTGGTGTAGTAACGAACACTGCAATCATTATGAATCGATTACAGAGTTTAGTTTAAGTACTGTAAAATCACGTGTAAAATATAATTTAGGTTTATAGTTTTCTACCCAAGCAAAGAATTAATTTCATTATTGCCTAATAGGTGGCGTTAGATACATCCATAGACTTATTGTAAATTTTAATCTTGGGAAGAAAATTAGATTGTTTCAAGAAACTTTGATCAAGGTTTTTCTTTCCTTCATTCTATATATTAAAAAAAAATATACCCTAGTAATTTGGTTTGTAAAAAGATTATTTGTGTTCTCTGTTTGATATGCAGGGCTATTTCCATAATTTTATTAAAGTATTATCATTGTAACATGTATTACTGTTAATATTTTAAATTGAATGATATATAAGGAGGCGCTATAGACAATCAAAATACAGGTAACATAAAATATTAAAATTTATTTAAATATATAAAAATAGAACCCACTCCCTGAGAGCAGAGTCGAATCTACAGTTAAAGAAAATAATATATACAAGGTGTGATTAAAAAGGTAAGCATTAAAAAGAAATATTATAAAAATACAGAAATAAATAAATATTATTTCGTATATAATTTCAACACGTTAGCTGCCAAATCAAGGAAAGCATACAAAGTAGAATTATATATCAGTAAATATGCTAAAAAGTAAAGGACCTAGATGTGGCCCTTTTGGGTACCCCTGAGGTTATGGGTATAAAAGGTGAGTTTTTATTGTTGAATGTTACGCACATACTTCTGTTTGTTAAATAGGATTTAATCCATCGTAGAAGGTTGATGTATACCACAAAATTCTTCAATTTTACTAACAAGGTTTCATGATGCACCTTATCAAAAGCTTTGGAGAAGTCTGTGTACACAGCATCCACCTGCTTACGTTTATCCATAGCTTCCAGATTATTTTGAACAAATGGTATTAGGTTTGTAACTATTGATCGACCTCCGTAAAAACCATGCTGTTGTAGCGGTATTAATTGTTTGAATTTAAAGAACAGATCTTTTGTTATAATCGTCTCAAATATTTTTCCCATCGCCGACAAGACTGAAATAGGGCGGTAATTAGATATGTGACATTTTTTCCACTTTTATATATAGGAATCACATTGGCTGTTTTCCATTTTAGAGGAAAGCATCCGGTTGATAGTAATAAGTTATAAATTAAAAACAGAGGTTTAGTGATAGCCTCTTTGCAACATTTTATAAAATAATTTTTTTGAATATTTAGTGCAGTTAAATGCTTAATCATAATACAAATACAAATACTAATAATAACGGAGTATAAATAGACCCTTAGTGATCCTGAAAACGATAATAAGACAGGCGTACAAGACAAAATTACCTCAATTTTTTTAAACATACTTAGATTCTAGGCAAAGATATTTTAAATATTGTGTTTGTGATGGTTTTAAAATCGATTAATTACTAAAGTCAATAAACTAAAAACCTTAAATTTCTACATAACTACATAACTAGTAACTAACA